AGATTAGGTTACTGTTGGCAAATATATAGTTAAGGATGTGGAATTTTCTAGTTTTAGGAATTACGATTAGCTCAGGATAAGAAAAAGTGGAGATGCGTGTCCAACCAGTCTTAGGACTGACGATCTTATGATGATGGCCAATTAGTACCTACTGTATAGTTAGCGTTGTATTTTCTATTGAAAGTTACTGCTCCATTTTTTAATAGTGATAATTAAGGTTTGCTTCTTTAAAATTATGGTGAATGCGCCGGTATCATTTTCCATAAATTATTTATAGTCCTTGTGGCTTCAAAATTAGAAACGGCAGTTAGGAATTAGAGTCATGTATAGTAAATACATCTCATTTTGTTTAAAAGAGCCCTCAAGTAAAGAATCTTTAAATATTTCCCATGAAAATATGTTTAGGTGATTTTCATCCTTATTAAAATAATACTAAAATGACAAGGCTTCACTTCTAAATCTGTTTTAATTTGAATAAACCATTATTATTTTTCAAAAAAAGACTTGAAAATATATTTGAGATGATTCTGAAAAACTGACCATGTGACTCCATCCATAGTTTGATAAACACTTCCAATGAAAACTATTTTCAAGTTGATATTGCCACTTACCTCATTATGGTTATCGAGTACTTTGTTTAGTCTAAATATTTATTTATATGATGCACCTATGTATAGGTAGATACATTTATATTCAGAACAAAACCCAAATGATTTAGGAATTTAGAACCGAAGGGTAAACCGAACGTAAAGGGCTCTGGGACAAGTGGTTATTTGACAAAGACATCAAAATGCAAATTAAACCCTAATTGTTATATTATATTAGGAGCGGCTGTTAGTTGAGCTACACACCTAATTAGAGGTAACGTTCGCTACAATCAACCCCTCCAAAAAATTTGTTAACGCGGGGGCGTATTAACGGGGCCAGATAGCGTAACCTTTTGCCAAGGGAGCGCTTGCGCCCTTAGACGAGGATTCACAGAAGGGCGGAGTCGGCCCTCGACCTGGCAAACAATCACGTAAAACCACCCGCCGCAATCTACCCCCTAATAATGTGTTATCCGCAGCTACCGCACTTTACAACCGCGATGTTTTCCATCGAAATATCATCCCCGGGATGTGTAGGATATATACAATAAAGTAGAGAAATGGCGCACCCTTTTTTATATTCATATGCATTCACATACGTATCCTTATGACTATCTCTTATCCATCCCTTAAGAAAAGGAATAAAAATTACACGTTGTCTCGGTTCTTCCCGTTAGTAGTAGAAATTAATAAAAGATATAGTTTCCAGTTCTTCCCTTATAGTTCTACTAATTAGGAATGAAAGCATGTTTATTCTTATAAAACCAATAAGCGACGTTTCGCACTTATTTACTAAAATAAGTCGAAATTTTTATTGTTGGTTCTGTAAAAATAAACAACGTTTCACACCATATTAGCCATCATTCTTCGCAAGGATAATGCCTAGTTCCCTCCCATATACCTGTTTTTAATTAGGGTTAAAATTTGCGGTACGTCGAATTCCTTCCCAATTATACATCAATTGCCTCCCAACGGCGGCGGAAGACCTTGAGTGCTAAATGTCACTATAAAGTCATAAAGAGTTGTTTAAATAATACAGCCTCACATCACATATTAATCTTAATATTATTAATATATTATAGACACCAGAAAAACAATAATAATTTTATCAAACTACCCTTCTATTGGTCAAATACTTGTTTCTACTCCTTCCGCTTTTTAATTGTAACATGTTTGCTACTTAAGTTACAATCAAAAGAATTTATTTATGCATTGGCTGTAGGTACAGTGTTTTCATGTATTTGTTTGTAACTGGTGAAAATCAAAATGAGTGCAGTTAGTTAAGTGAAAAAGGAAAGCCGTTAGTAGTTATTGACAATTATAAGTTTAGTTTTCAAAAGAACCTGTCCCAGGGTCTTAAACGGTGGCTGTGTGTTCAAAAAGAGTGCAAAGCACATGTTAAAATGGACGGTGCAATTGTAATTCAACTAGAAAATGACCACAACCATGAAAATTTGCCAGAAGCCACAAAAAATCGGTAAGTAGTCGTTATTAATAACTTAATTATCGGAGCTGATATGAACGGGAGGGAACTCGGCTAGTACCCGGGAGGGAGTTCGACTATCTATATTTTAAGCAAAACTACCTGCAGAAGAGAGTTCGACATCACCGCTCCGCAATACTAAAAGACTCTTTTCTGTTCTTTTAGTTAATCTAAACTAAAAGTAATGTTCTTCCTATTGTTATTTAGTAAATACCAATTGAGTCAAAATAGTTACTTCCTGTAAATGCAAATGAATTTATTTAAATTAATCGATGCGAAAGGTACGTTTTGCTGGAAAAACCCCCCCTGTAGTGGATGGCAACAAAAAAGGCTAAACTTTCCGTTCCTGAAAAGGATCCACTACAAATGCATCAGAAAATAAATTTTTATTGATTTACATTCCTTGTTATGGTGGAATTTTTTATAGGAAAGGTACCTATTTAATAAAACATTGGGAGGTGACTAAATTGGGCACCCAAAAACAGACAGTTTCTGAAAATACCCAGCAAAAGAAGATCAAGAGGATTAGCCAACCGATACATTGTAAGATGGTAGGTACATGCGTACATACCTATAGCAAATAGCTGAATTTTGGCCACCAAAAAGTGAAGCAAGCTAATAATTTCAAATACTAAAAATGTAAAGATTATATATCAAAATTAAAGTTGCTTCAAATACTTCAACTCATAAATCATAATCGTTTCGTTTGGTCTTCCGTATTTCGTCTTGATCTTGCAGATTCGGTTTCGGTTTTAGTCATAGTCTTGTTCGTTATCTCTTGGCCTTGATTTTGCTAGCATAAAGACAGTCTTGATCTTCGTTTTGGTCTTACATTTTCGAAAGACCAAGACTGCAAACCCAAAACCAATTTTCTTCTACACTATAAAATATTGAATTGACAAAGTTACATAAGTACAATAATACCATAATATTACTGTGACATATATATAATGAATTGGTTTTTTTATAATGTTTGAGATGATTAGTAAAAAGTTTTTAGTCCAATACATTCTTGAATTTTAGTTTTTATGATACCATCTAAGTAATTTTACAATTTTCTTCTAAAACTGCAGTCGTTATGTTTTTCAAATGTACCTAATATTTACTATATTCAAAAATGCCCAGAAAAAGTTGTCAATTCTTGTGTAAAGTCATTGGTTTTTTTCTTTTTTGTACCAATTAGTACCTAGGTACTGTAGTTAACGTTGCTTTCCTGTTCCATTTTTTAATAGAAGTAATTAAGGTTTGCTTCTTTAAAATTATGGTGAAGGCGCCGGGGATAATTTTAAATAAATTATAGTCCTTGTGGCTTCAAAATTAGAAACGGCAGCTATAGTAATTAGATTCATTTGCGGTAAATACACGTCATTTTGTTTGAAAGTATTTTCCATGAAAATGTGTTTAGGTAATCTTCATATTACAATAATACTAAAATGACAAAGCAAATTCAATTTACAAAGGACAGGACGATAAGTGTAGTGAATCGGCCCCAGAGGGATATCTGGATTATTTTTTGAGGGTATATTAGTACTAATGAGATACGTAAATTATAGTCCTTGTGGCTTCAAAATTAGAAACGGCAGCTATAGTAATTAGATTCATTTGCGGTAAATACACGTCATTTTGTTTGAAAAAACCCTCAAACAGTATAAGAATCTTTAAGTATTTTCCATGAAAATGTGTTTAGGTAATCTTCATATTACAATAATACTAAAATGACAAAGCAAATTCAATTTACAAAGGACAGGACGATAAGTGTAGTGAATCGGCCCCAGAGGGATATCTGGATTATTTTTTGAGGGTATATTAGTACTAATGAGATACGTTAATCCTGAAAATTTTAAACCTCTATCTATTTTGGTCAAACGAAAAATCAGAATTTTTTTTTCTCAAAAAAGCTCTAAAATCGTTATATAGATCTTTTTTATATAAAAATCGATTTATTTCAATGTTTATACCTTGAAANATAATTTTCTATTTATCACATGGACGATATTTGTCTAAAATCTTTAGACCAACTGCAATATTAAACTTATTATTTAATAAAGACAATATTATTACCGTTATTGACGAAGATAGCGACGAAGAATAGCCAGTCGAATAATTAGACAAAGACAAAAAGCAGTTTTATTATATTTTTTTATTTTATTTATTATACGTATATTCGAGTATAGCCGTTGTATACCTCTATACCGTCTATAAATTTCCTTCAAATTGGTTTTTGAGGAAAAAATATTTTCTGATTTTTCGTTTTTTTGGATTTATTCAAAAACCGAAATAGATGGAGGTCTAAAATTTTCAGGATTAACGTATCTCATTAGTACCAATATACCTTCTAAAAATAATCCAAATCTACCTCTGGGGCCTTATCGTCCTATGACCCTTAAACAAAAATTGTCACTTTTGTACAAGAATTTTATATTTTCGATAACATACTGTTGAAATTTACCAAATTGGGACAAAAACAGCTTGTTTGATGTCATATCCATCCCATTATGTTAAAAATACCTTAAAGGACAATTAAAATCTCTACATCAGAGTTCAGGACATGTTTAGATGTTAGAGAGAATAATTTTCGATTCGGTGGCCAAGGTAGGAAAATTGCGGGGTCATTAAGGTTACACGCTGATATAGACGAGGGTGGTCCCATTGAGTCGGGATCCTCCCCGTGGAGGGGTAAACGCGAACCCGGATCCCTACCCCAAAAGCCCTTTGCCTCCTGGTCCATGACAGTAAGTTGTTACATGTCTAACAGCTCTAACGAGCTAATCAGTTGGTTATTTTTGCGGCACATGAACTATCACACGGTACATTATCTTGATTAGTGTTTGTGCAATCTTATCCTGAAGAATACCACCTACGACCGCACATTATATAATCCTTTTGATTATCCTCCAACATGGAAAAAAATCCTTCCAAATATAATTCAAACGATTTAAAACAAGACAATTCATTGTAATTAAAGGTATTGTTTTTTTTTACGTATTATTGTGAGGTTTTCATCAGATTGTTTGTGAAAAGAAAATATTAATGTAAGGGAAGTCAAATCTATTATCCGAATTTTTTTTAATCACAATGAACCCTTAATTTCTTCATTCATTAAATTCCTATCTACAATATAAGTTATTTAGATAAATCGTAACGAAAAATGACTTTTTTAGTATTTAGTGTTTTCGTATTTTGAACAGAATGTGAAAATTCTGAAGAAAATCCTCTGTTAACTTGTGTCTTCCGCATCCAAAATGCTACACCATTATAATTATTCGACTCCCCTATCCCAATTTTTGGGATTCCATCAACAAGAAGACAATTTATCCAGTGATCTATCAGTAACTACTATATACGACGACAATATTAGTCCGCGTAGCAAATCAAAATCTCCGGAATCGTCCAGTAATAAATCATTCACGATCGAGGCAATATTGGGACTCAACAACCGGAAAAGGTACGACGAAGAGGAAGTTAGACAACCGACGGATCTCAGTGCTGTGGTAAGATGGTTTACTATTTTTTCTTAGAATAGAATATTAAACCAAACCATTAACTGATTAAACATTTGCTGAACTATTTCGTACTTTCCATTCTTGACGATTTTTAATTCTCATTAACTTCCTTAATCTTTGTAAGATAAGCGATAGAACGAACAAAAAGCAATGTCGTTACTTAATTTCTAAGGCAGGTGATTGGATTAGGTCGATTGACGACTTAGACAAATAAATTTTATTTTTACAACAGATAATAAATTAAAATCAGCTTATCATAATCAATATCATTAAAAATAAAGAGTTAATCCTTCAACCAAAATCATTACAATTTGACAAAGTTTTTCGTTATCATTGAGTCGTTTCGTTCCTGTAAATAATTCTTGAATTTAGGTAAACTTGAGTGTTCATTCCGGAAACGTCGAAAGAAACGTGGTATCGGGTTGTAACCGTATCCAAATACCATTCCGTCATGGTGTTAGTTCTTCTACGGTCGAAATGGCCCATTATCCAGGATCAAGTTGTCTACAGAAACGGACGAATACGACCGCCACGGGTAACTCATACTTTATTTATTACTCAGTTACTTAATGAATTACTTGAATTACACTGATTCTATTCAAAGGAATCCAGTTTATTTACTGAACAAGTTATTTAACTCCAATACAATCTTTAACGTCTAATAACAACAGATTCACGAAACCGTGAAACGAAATCTAATATTACAAATTATGTACTTGCTTAAGTTAAATTGTTTGTTACAGTTGCAAATTTCAAACATCTGCAGCCCGTGCTCTCGCAAAACAAGAAAAATTGTAAAAGCAAAAGAGTTAGGACGATTTTTACCCCTGAACAACTGGAAAGATTAGAAGCCGAATTCGAGAGACAGCAGTACATGGTTGGACCTGAAAGACTATATTTGGCACACACGTTACAACTCACGGAAGCCCAGGTAAAAGTTTCTTAAGTTATCATAAAAAAATTTTAAAGTCTAGCGCTATTACTGTAACGTGTTTTAAATGGAACATTCTGTTTGTATTCCAGGTGAAAGTGTGGTTTCAGAATCGTCGTATAAAATGGCGCAAGCACCATCTGGAGTTGACCCATCAGAGGCTTGCAGCGCTCAAACAGCAACAGCAACTCCTTTTGAGTGAACAGCAACAACAAATTGACACAAACGACACAAACAGTTCAAGTGTCGACAACACATAAATGAAACATTAGAAGTAATAACCGACTGGTTTTTTGCCAATAGATTAATTTTCGACACACATGTTGTTACGGCTGTGACTTAATTCATGATCGAAAATGGGCGTTACGTTAGAAAGCACCAAAACTGGGAAAATTTTGTAATAAAAAGTCCCAAAAGAAAACAGTAACTACAATAAAGAACTACCAAAATGTTTAATAGGTAATTTAATACCCAAAAGCTGCACCATAATTCTTTACATGTTTACCCGAAATATGGTCTACAAAAATCGTCTACTAATTAAAAAAATTACGTGTCATACAATGTAAATAAATACTGTAAATAATTTAGTGGTTAAGTATCTTATTTTAGTGCAATCACAAAACGAGCTGATTTGTGGTATGATTTGTAGAAATGTCTGAATGTATTGTAAATTAATTGATATTCAAAAGTAAATATTTGCACAACGATGAAGAGTTGTTTTATTTGAAAATTATCCCAGATCATCAATAAAATCTGTACCTGAAAATTCCAATAAATTAAGATACCATAATTAAAATAAATAAAGGTCTAATGATACAAAAAGCGCAAATTTCCTATTTAATTCAAGACAGGGTAGTATTCACTTCTTATCTTAAGGATGAATAAGAAAGCGGATCTTCGTCAATACTTTATAAATTAAATTTTTAAATTTTTGAATTGAAAAGTTAATAAAATAGAAAATTGTAGAGATGGGTATAGGAAAAAGGTATATGGGGCATGATTTTCCCAGGTAATTAGAAAAAGGCGAAAATCATGAGCTTGCGTGGGCAAGGTCGCTATCCCCTGAAGTAGGCTCCTTTTTAACATAGAAAAGGTATTGCCTACCCGCTACCCGTTTTTAACAAAAACCGCGCAGTTAATCTATACAAACTTGGTATAAAGTAGTTAGAAATAATTGGTTATTGAAATTATTTAATTTAATATAGGTAATACTTAATAATAAAAGGGAAGAAAAAGTAGGGGTAATAAAAGGGAAGAAAAAGTAGGGAAAGAGCGAATATAAAGATAGGAGACGAAAGGTTAAAACTAGAACATCCCATATCCTTAACTATTTACGAACAGTAGTCTAATCTAGGTCTACCTCTACTCCTTCTAACTCCTGTTTCTGCCTCTAATATGTCTCTGACTAGACCTTCATACCTGAGACCTATCTCCCCTATTTCTTATTTACTTCCTATGTTCTCCTATTCTTTCCAATACATTTTCATTTCTAACGTTCTCTATTCTTCGTCTTAACAAACTGGGCGACCGGACGATTACCCGGGGCGGCCAAACCGGGTACGAATTTACTTTTTTGGTTTTGTATTTACTTCTATGCTCGCGAACGGTTAATTTAGAAATTCGAAAAAGGTTGTTAAAGGTGGATGTTTGGAGCACGGCGTTGCACGGGTGCGAAACATTGACGGTAGGAGTAGCGAAAAAGAAAAGGTCAGAAGCGTTCGAAATGTGGTGTTACATGCAAATGTAATTAATATCTGCAAACAAAACATGTGTCTTACCAAAAAACAAAATACATTTCTGCAAAAGTAGAAATTAAATCGTTATAAGGTAATGTAATTGCCACCCCATTTTCTATTGAAATTAAGGCCAATCCGCTGAGTCTATTTTGATCCATACTTGATCTTAAATAATTTTCTATAATTTTTAGTTTGGGGGAAGACACGGGTAGGATCAGTAATATTCTTAAAGCTATCATAGCATCAGGGTATATTCGGGTGGCTTTACTGTAGGGGCTAATCTTTGGACTACGAAAATATTGTCTCATTTAAAATTATTTTTCGGGGATTTTTTTCAAAGGGGAAATTTTTCCCTAGTATAACCATTATAGCATCCAGGGTTACCTAGATTTGCTGGTCGGTGAACTGCATGTTCACAAATACGAAAATAATAAATAATCCAGACAATCAGACAGTGAAGGTCGTTTCTTAGAAGAATGTCGAAGGTATAGCGAAGTAAAAAGCGATAGTTTGGAATACTTTTGCTTGTATACTACTTAAACAAATTAAACTTATCCGACGGAAATGTATATATACATATGCCATATATAAATACCGACCCTAGCACCCCATTTTGGTTCACATGACTTACAATTCGGCTTTCGGGTCTATTTTATTAATGAAGATTTGACAAAGAACGAGGGGGTGAACAATAAGATGAAAAAGGAGTAAGATGTTGTTCAATTAAACTTTATAACAATTTTTTTCATCATCATCATCATAAGGTCATCAGTCCTAAGATTGGTTGGACACGTACCTCCACTCTTTCCTATCCTGAGCTAATCTTCGCATTTCCCTAAAACTAGAACAGCCCACATCCTTAACTATTTGCGACGAGTAATCTAATCTAGGTCTACCTCTACCCCTCCTAACTCCTGTTTCTGCCTCTAATATGTCTCTGACTAGACCTTCATGCCTGAGAAGGTGTCCTACCAACCTATCTCGCCTATTTTTTATTGACTTCCATAGAGTCCTCTGTTCTCCTATTCTTTCCAATACCTCTTCATTTCTAACCTTTTCTACCCACGATATCCTCATCATCCGCCTATAACACCACATTTCGAACGCTTCTAACCTTTTCTTTTCCGCCGCTCCCACTGTCCATGTTTCGCACCCGTACAACGCCGTGCTCCAAACATACACCTTTAACAACATTTTTCATTTAATTTCTAAATTAACCGTTCGCGAGCATAGAAGTAAATACAAAACCAAAAAAGTAAATTCGTACCCGGTTTGGCCGCCCCGGGTAATCGTCCGGTCGCCCAGGTTGTTAAGACGATGGATAGAGAACGTTAGAAATGAAAATGTATTGGAAAGAATAGGAGAACATAGGAAGTAAATAAGAAATAGGCGAGATAGGTCTCAGGTATGAAGGTCTAGTCAGAGACATATTAGAGGCAGAAACAGGAGTTAGAAGGAGTGGAGGTAGACCTAGATTAGACTGTTCGTAAATAGTTAAGGATATGGGATGTTCTAGTTTTACGGAAATACGAAGATTAGCTCAGGGCAGGAAAAAGTGTAGATGCGTGTCCAAACAAACTTAGGACTGACGACCTTATGATGATGATGAATAAAATACTTAAAGGAGCTGGGAAGAAAATAAAAAAGCATATTAAAAATATTTATCTTAATTTAATCATTGTAAAAATGTTGCCCTCTTTTCTGTTTCGAGTCTGCTGGTGGTATTATGTAGATTAAGGAACTTTAGTGAACAATTAAAACATCAACGACTTCCGGGGAATCAATTAAATTACCCTCTATATACATAGGTACGAGGAAGGGTTGAAAGCAAATTTTGCAAACCGCCCGTTTTAGAACATTTTACAGCTAATTTAACGGCATCATCTAACAAGTTTATTGTTAATTTACTCGTAATATCTTATCTTTCTGAACAAGGAACGAAATTAATTACTTAAGTTCTGATAACTTCATAGAACGGAGAGACGCCTCCGGAATCGAATCTTTTAAGAGACGAGGAAGACAACTAACAAACGAAAGACGAAAATTATTATTATTAAAGTTTTTAGTTACAATCATAGCCATGCATTGAATTTTTAAATTTAAAATAATCACATGCAAATGAATAATGTATAATATACTGATGGTATATCAGTTTTTAATAATAGGTTTTCTTTTAATACTGTTAGTGCTTAAATACTAATGCTGAAAGTGTTTTTGAATAAACAAAATAAATCATCCCTAATAAAAACATTTATTATTAACAAATACTATAATAATGAATTAAAAAGTTACATAATATTTAGAAAGCCTATCACTCACTATATCATCATCATCATAGGGTCGTCAGTCCTAAGACTGGTTGGACACGTACCTCCACTCTTTCCTATCCTGACCTAAACTTCGCATTTCCCTAAAACTAGAACAACCCACATCCTTAACTATTTGTGAACAGTAATGTAACCTAGGTCTACCTCTACCCCTCCTAACTCCTGTTTCTGCCTCTAATATGTCTCTGACTAGACCTTCATGCCTGAGAAGGTTTCCTACTAACCTATCTCGCCTATTTTTTATTGACATCCATAGAGTCATCTGTTTTATTCTTTCTAATACCTCTTCATTTCTAACCTTTTATACCCTCGTTATCCTCATCATTCGCCTATTACACCATATTTCGAAGGCTTCTAACCTTTTCTTTTCCGCCGCGCCCACTGTCCATGTTTCACACCCGTACAACGCCGCGCTCCAAACATACACCTTTAGCAACCTTTCTCAAATTTCTATATACTTACATTTAAATTTGTGTGGGTACGTTTCTTCATAATCTGTACGTTGTACATAGGACAAACGGATAGATTCGTACATTAAAGAAGACTTAACATACATTTTAACTAGATACATAGAAAAAATGAAGTAAAAAATTATGAATTCTTTAAAGTTCTAATTATTTAGTGTTCGTTAATAGATACAATGAATTAAATAATCATCTTTACAATTACAATCAAGCGAAATGTCTCCTTTATTGGATTGGAAACATCTTTCTCTCCTCTGGTTGCTATTAGTAAGTACATAATATATGTATATCATTCAAAATAATTAAACATATTTACCTATCTTCTGCCTAAAAGATTTATCATTTGAAGAAACAATTGTAGTGAAAGTATGACTTTTCTGAATCTGATTGTGTTCTTTGTTTAGTATTGAATTTCATGAAAATTGGTCCAATATTTGTTGACTACACTTTATTAATGTGAACAAATGTTTTTTGTTGTTGTTATTTACTTTCACAGTTCATTTTTTTTAAACGTATTATTATTAGCAAGTAATGTGGTAGCAATTTAACGATAATTTTCTTTCTTGTGTTGTTCAAATATTATGAGTGTAATGCCAGCATTTTATAAGCCGAAAATAAGGGAAGGTAGGTATGCTGCACGACTTGAATGCTGTTTCAAATAAAGCAACATAAATTAGCTGCCCTGGAAGAGAATAAAGAGAGGAGACATCTGTAATTTAGCCAAAGGGACGCAGGGCCTGGAATGCGCAGGGGTCCGGTTTGACTTTTAATAAAACCTTTGAGAATTACTCTTCCGTTTTATTATGAAACTTCTTACAACGTAGTTCCGCATGCTTAACGGTCATCGTTATTTTAATGCAACGGAATTAAAATACTGCCTACCAAAAAATACAAATACTGCTATAGAAAAAAAGAGGACAGACGGACACACGAGTGATCCCATAAGGGTTCCATTTTGCATTCGAACGTGCGAAACCCTAACGCGAGAACCAACTTGAAAAAAAATGTTCTTTCATACATTCAAACTGCAAATGTAAATTCTTACGCAAAATGTTTTAAAGATTTAACACGTTATTTTCAGACCATATTATTTTTCCTGTAATCTATAAGTAAAAA